TGAGATGGCAACAGTTACCTGCCTCTCCACCCCCCGCACCCCGTACATCGCACTTCGCTCACTTAACATGCACAACAACGATAAACATAATTAGGGGAGAGAATAAAAACGCCTCATTACCTTTGTAATGTTATTTTTATACGTTTAATGTCTTGCGTTATCAAGTATGGCGAAAAGATGGCAACACCGTATGTATTACAAGGTAAAAAATATAACTACATTGCATATTATTCTATTTCTTTAGAACCACAAAAATAACGCAACTGAGATTGACATACAATAAAAGGTATATAGACACTTCTTTTGGAGAGAACTGTCTTTATTTGTCCTTATTCTGTAAATAATTACTTCCAAGACCGATTTGTTACATCTATGGCATGGACTCAAGTCTCTCGCATAATTCGATTAAAAAATATACTACTACAAGTATTAAAAACCAAAGACTCACGCAATGTAATACAATTTTATAGGAAGAACGAAATGATGGTATGAAACATGGCTCGAACGCTGGTTGGGCAACACTACGACCTCGTCAGATATACCTTTATACGGCGAGCCAAGGCAAGGTGATCAGCGACCCATAAACTGCTCCCAGCGGAGCCCTAATGAATTAATGGCAATGGATTTACTATATACGTGTAGGTATACACTATGCAAGCAAAAACTTATACACCTACCCTTGCATCTCTACACTTTTTTACATGTTTTATAAAAATAATGACTTGCTATTGGCCCTGATTATGTTATGTATGAAGAACTAAAAAGGAAAAGATAATACAAGTTATAATGTTCAATCATCAACTTGCCCTTATCCCTAAAGAGGGTGGGCAAAATCAGATACGAATAGAAGTTATATAGGTTTTATACACAAAGATCTTTGTAGGAATATATCTCACGTACCGATTTACCATGAGTTGCGATTGCAAAGTCTTGATAAGTAACATTTTCGCACACTTTTTTAATTGACGTCGTATCCGTCAAACACAAAGGGTTTCCTTGCGGATGGCGAAACCTCACTCGTGTTAAATGGGGGAGGTTATTATATTTTGTAAACTATATAGCAATTTAGCGGTAACAATATAATCGTTACGAACAATAGCTGCTTAAAAAACGTTGCAAGAAATGGTGCAATTGTAAAATGTGAAATACATATTAAAAAGATACCAATTTAAACATACATTTACACAGACATTTTGCGCATGTTTTTGCTATTTTAAATAAGAGAAAGTAAATTGAAATTAAACTTACATCTTTATATAATGACGAGCTGTTGCCCGCGACTTCGACCACACAATAATAAGATAAAAAATAGCTTATAATATGCCCGTCTATGTCAAATACCCTTCAGTGAACGTCCGGTCAAAATCGAACCAGCCGTTTCGGAGATTACCCGGAACAAACGCGGCTTGCGGACAGAAAGACGGACAGACAGACAAAAAAGGATTTAATTCCATTTTTTTTATCAGGAACGCAAATACACCATCTTCCCGAAATCTGAAATTTTCCTCTTGATATTACAGACACTCCAATTTTATTATATGTAGGTATAGATAGAAATAAACAACCATCAAAGGTCTCCGATTGTAAGTTAATCACGATCAGAACTTTACATTGTTTTTATTAAAGCAATCAAGACCATTTAGTTCTGCTACAGATAAATCCAGATGAAAGATAGTGTCGGTCCTTCGTTAGACACGAACAGCAGGTGAATGGAAGCATAAATCCTTCGATACAATTAGTTCCAACTAGTATAGTATCTGTGATTCAACAAAGTACATCTAACAACTAATAGTTGAATCTGTAATTACTAACAAGATTAAACATTTTATGTTATACTAGCTGTTGCTAACGACTGCGCCCACGTGAAGTTAAAATGTAATAAAAAAGGCAGCCTATGTTACTCACTGATAACGTAGCTTTTTAATAACAAAAGATTTTTTAAATCGGCCCAATAGTTATTGAGTTATTATAATACATACAAAAATTACAAATCTTTCCTCTTTACAATTTTAGTATAGACATAAAAGTAATCATAGTAAACGCTTTACTAGGAGCCAGGAAAAACCTTAATTTTTTCTTAACGGAACAGATTTTTAAATTAAGACATAAAAAAACACCGCTTAGCAACTCTTAAAATATTTCATTTACTTTATAAAAAATGTGTTACTTACTATTTTTTTAATAATGATTAATAATACACAAATGGCAGTATGTCAACAAAAAATTAAACTTAATCTGTTGTATGAATACTTCAATGAGCAATCGTCAATGACTCATTACGAGTCATTGGACTGTCCAAAAAAAAAAACAAGTCAGTCTGGAGAAAAAAAATGTCAAATAAATGAAAATTTATGTCTATCTATTCTTAGAGGCGTCTCAAAATAAAGTTCTCGATTTGTCTGCGATCCAATGTTTTACACTAATATGAAAGTGAACAAATAAATCTGTTACTTGGTCTTAACATTAACCAGAAATCGACTAGAAATTTACTTATTTGCGTTCTTCCCTACAGAATTACACGTATGTGAATAAAAGTTGTAATCAAGCAGAGACATTAAGTAAAAAATTACATCCGACAAATGACTGCACCATCAAGACATTTAAAACTCTCATTAGGAATAGAAAATGATAATTTCACCGTAATGTCATAACAGAAATAACCGAGCGACTATTACGCATAATTACACTACGAGATTGTAGTGGAGATTGTTAGGGCGAGCAAACAAAGGAGACTGTCAGAGGTCGCGGTCTCACAAATTCGTCGTAATTGGCCCGCAGAGAGAAACCAGCTACCCGCGTAATTGCTGATGCAAAAACATGCGGTACATCAATGCGACAGTAACACACGCCATGAAACTAGATCGTGGGAGTGAAACGGGAACCTTTGAATGGCACCATCCACTACCGAGAAGCCTATGGTACTATTTAGACACGGCACACTAGCGCTCGTTAAGACGTTACCACACGCGTGTTTGTTCCTTTCGAAATCGAGAGTGGTTTCTAAAACTTTACTACCATGGGAACGTTTTCGGATCCAGGTATCTACTAAAGTAAAGGAGATGTTGTGTAATTTTGTTTAATTATAATAATGTACTCGCAAATAATTACTTCAAATATGATGTTACGAAAAAGACCACAAGGTTAAATTATTGAGAAAAAGATAACATATTGTCATTGTTGTTTTAAAAAAAAGCTTTTTATATACGATACTATACTTAACCTGATAAGAATAATCAAATTTTAGTCCTTCTAACATAAACATTAGGTCAGTGAAGATTAAATTATATTGTTAGAGGTTGCATATTGAGTTGTGCGTCACATTCAATATTTTCCATAAACACAAAGAAAGATGTTGCCAGTTCATTCACTGAAGTTTGGAAATTGAA